GCCGCTTGCACGCTGTTTGCTGTTGTTGCCGCTTGCACGCTGTTTGCTCTTGCCGCTTGCGCGCTGTTTGCTCTTGCCGCTTGCACGCTGTTTGCTCTTGCCGCTTGCAGCTGTTTGCTGTTGTGGGCTTCTCTGTTCCCTCTGGTCACCCTTGCTGCGTCTTCTTCCAGGCCCTGTGTCTGCTGCTTGCCTGTTTCAACTCGTTTCTCCTCTAGCCCAGGCCCTGTCGTTGGGTGCCGAGGCTGCGCGGGTCCTGCGGGGGCCCTGGGCTTGGTGAGTGTCGGCCTCGTGGAATTCTCGTGCAGCCGTGGCGCCGGCGGGGGGCGGGAGGGAGCGTGTCTGTGCCACGGGCTCCCTGACTCGGGAGGTAACATCCCCGCTGTGCACACCCAGACGCTCCGCCTTCCTTGGGCAGGAGCACTAGGCTTGGAGCCCGTGCGTGGTGCGCATCCGCTGTGAACGGGCACCTGCGGGGCCTGTGGAGCCAGTCGCGTTGTGCAGTGCGCAGGAGCAGCTCTTTGGATTGGCCTGTGTCCGTTTTTCATCGTCTGGTCCGTTGGTGTGCTGGCAAAGGTTGTTTGCGTCCAGCTGGCCGTCTGGGTCCAGGGGGCACCAGGACTCGGCTGCAGGGGTCGGGAGGAGGCGGCGGCCAGGGGGAGCTCCTAAAGCTCTTACGGTCTCTGACTCAGCTGCCCACATGGCAGGCCCCTGGGCCAAGGCGCAGCACAGGCTTCTTGCTCCTGGCTCTGTTCCCTGTTTCTGTGTGGCCCTTCCTGAGGCCAGACGTGACCGGTTGGCAGGGTCGTGTGGCTGGTCGCAGCCCCGACCCGGAAGCTCAGCTTCTCCTGATCTGTGGAGACACCCCTGCCCAGCACACGGCTAGACTTTGTTACAGGTTGGCTTTCAGAGAGGTTTATGAGTAGTCCTTGGGATTGTCCGTGCCTGTTGTGGCCCTCGGTAACCCTCAGCCTCAGGCTCTGCCCACCCGGCTTCCTGCCAGGGAGGAGCCTGCCTCCCCCCCCCCCAGCCAGGCCCTCGGTAACCCTCAGCCTCAGGCTCCGCCCACCCGGCTTCCTGCCAGGGAGGGGCCTGCCCCCCCCCCAGCCAGGCCCTGCCCAGGGGCGGGGCTGCGCGGTGAGCGTTCATTCTTCTTCCGTTTTCCTCAAAATTTCTCAGGTTTCTTTTCTTCCCTGTCCCTCGTCCTGCTTGGTTTTACTGGTGCTCTTTTACGAAACGTTCCTCTGCTCTCCCTCCCTGCTCAGGCCCTCCTCCTGGGGACGGCAGGCCCTGCAGTGGCTCTCGGGCTGTTGGAGTTCTGCTCCTGAGCTGGTGTCCATTTACCGTGGCACCTGAGGCTCCTGGGGTCGTGGAGGCTCCTGGGGTCGTGGAGGCTCCTGGGATCGTGGAGGCTCCTGGGGTCGTGGAGGCTCCTGGGGTCGTGGAGGCTCCTGGGGTCGTGGAGGCTCCTGGGGTCGTGGGGGCTCCTGGGGTCGTGGGGGCTCCTGGGGTCGTGGGGGCTCCTGGGGTCGTGGAGGCTCCTGGGGTCGTGGAGGCTCCTGGGGTCGTGGGGGCTCCTGGGGTCGTGGGGGCTCCTGGGGTCGTGGGGGCTCCTGGGGTCGTGGGGGCTCCTGGGGTCGTGGGGGCTCCTGGGGTCGTGGGGGCTCCTGGGGTCGTGGGGGCTCCTGGGGTCGTGGGGGCTCCTGGGGTCGTGGAGGCTCCTCCTGGGGTCGTGGGGGCTCCTGGGGTCGTGCAGGCTCCTGGGGTCGTGGGGGCTCCTCCTGGGGTCGTGGGGGCTCCTGCAGGCTTCCCCGTTTTCTCTCTTGCTGCCCGCCAGGCTCAGGGCCATGTGGTGAGGATTGCAAGCAGGGTGAGCAGCTCTCTGTGGGCCCTTGGGCTGAGGCAGGAGGGGTGGAGGAGGAAGGTGTGCTTGCCGGAGCGGGGGCTGCTCCTTGGAGCTGCGTGGCCATGAAGAACTGGCTGGGCAGTGCCTGTCTGAGGGCTGCCGGTGCACTCGATCCCACCCTCGGTTGGGACTCAGCCCTGCCAGGCCAGCCGGGCCGCCTGCCAGTGGGTAGGGAGGAGGCTGAGCCCAAGAAGACAAGAGCCCCGGCCGTTCACCGCGGGGCTGAGCGTGGGCTGAGCATGGGGTGCACACACCGCGGGGCTGAGCGTGGGTGAGTGTGGGCTGAGCGTGGGGTGCACACACCGCGGGGCTGAGCGTGGGCTGAGCGTGGGCTGAGCGTGGGTGAGCGTGGGCTGAGCATGGGCTGAGCGTGGGGTGCACACACCGCGGGGCTGAGCGTGGGTGAGCGTGGGCTGAGCGTGGGCTGAGCGTGGGCTGAGTGTGGGTGAGCGTGGGCTGAGCGTGGGGTGTGCTCACTGCGGGGCTGAGCGTGGGCTGAGCGTGGGTGAGTGTGGGCTGAGCGTGGGCTGAGCGTGGGTGAGCGTGGGTGAGCGTGGGCTGAACGTGGGGTGTGCTCACCGCGGGGCTGAGCGTGGGCTGAGCGTGGGCTGAGCGTGGGTGAGCGTGGGTGAGCGTGGGCTGAGCGTGGGGTGTGCTCACCGCGGGGCTGAGCGTGGGCTGAGCGTGGGTGAGCGTGGGCTGAGCGTGGGTGAGCGTGGGTGAGCGTGGGCTGAGCGTGGGGTGTGCTCACCGCGGGGCTGAGCGTGGGCTGAGCGTGGGTGAGCGTGGGCTGAGCGTGGGCTGAGCGTGAGGGGTGCGCTCACCACGGGGCTGAGCGTGGGCTGAGCGTGGGCTGAGCGTGGGTGAGTGTGGGCTGAGCGTGGGGTGTGCTCACCGTGGGGCTGAGCGTGGGCTGAGTGTGGGCTGAGCGTGGGGTGCACACACCGCGAGGCTGAGCGTGGGCTGAGCGTGGGCTGAGCGTGGGTGAGTGTGGGCTGAGCGTGGGGTGTGCTCACCGCGGGGCTGACGTGGGCTGAGCGTGGGCTGAGCGTGGGCTGAGCGTGGGTGAGCGTGGGCTGAGCGTGGGTGAGTGTGGGCTGAGCGTGAGGGGTGTGCTCACCGCGGGGCTGAGCGTGGGCTGAGCGTGGGCTTAGCGTGGGCTGAGCGTGGGCTGAGCGTGGGGTGTGCTCACCGCGGGGCTGAGCGTGGGCTGAGCGTGGGCTGAGCGTGGGTGAGTGTGGGCTGAGTGTGGGGTGTGCTCACCGCGGGGCTGACGTGGGCTGAGCGTGGGCTGAGCGTGGGCTGAGCGTGGCTGAGCGTGGGCTGAGCGTGGGGTGTGCTCACCGCGGGGCTGAGCGTGGGCTGAGTGTGGGGGTGTGCTCACCGCAGGGCTGAGCGTGGGCTGAGCGTGGCTGAGCGTGGGCTGAGCGTGGGGTGTGCTCACCGCGGGGCTGAGCGTGGGCTGAGTGTGGGGGTGTGCTCACCGCAGGGCTGAGTGTGGGCTGAGCGTGGGTGAGTGTGGGCTGAGCGTGGGTGAGCGTGGGCTGAGCGTGGGGTGTGCTCACCGCGGGGCTGAGCGTGGGCTGAGTGTGGGGGTGTGCTCACCGCGGGGCTGAGCGTGGGCTGAGCGTGGGCTGAGCGTGAGGGGTGCGCTCACCACGGGGCTGAGCGTGGGCTGAGTGTGGGGGTGCGCTCACCACGGGGCTGAGTATGGGCCGAGCGTGGGGTGCACTGTGATCACACCTAGGTAGGAGTCCCTGGGGAGCAGGATGGAGGTCTGAGGCCAGACCCAGGCAGGAGTGTGATTCTACCTGAAAAACAACTACAGAAGAGGTTGAACACAGGGCTTGTGGCACAGAGCACCTGCCCAGTGACCAGAAAGCTCTGGGCTCCAACTCCAGTGCCACCAAAACCCCGTTTTCCTGATAGGATAAGAATGGCAGGCCGTGCGTCCTGCGCCTGCCTGTGGCAGGCGCGGTGTCAGGACTGGAAGCCACGGGCATGGCAGCCAGTCCTGGGCGGGAGGAAAACACAGCACCGCTGCTGCTCGCTCAGGTCACCGACGTGGACCTGCGGCGCTGCTGTGTGAGGTGCGCCCCGGGCTCCCTTCCAGAGCCTCTCGGGACCTGGGTGCTGTCAACTTCAAGGCCATCTTTTCTTCAGGACCAGGGCCAGGCTGCCGAGGCTCCATTGCATGATGTAAAACTAGGAGGGCTCTCCATGCCAGGGCTTTCCTGATGGGGCCTCCGTGTCCCTCCTGTCCTATCCCTGCCTGGCAAGGAGCAAGTGGGGTGTGCTCCAGACCCCCATCCCTCCCCGGTGCCCTGCGCTCCGTGACGGTGCCCTGCGCTCCATGCCCTGCGCTCCGTGACGGTGCCCTGCGCTCCGTGACGGTGCCCTGTGCTCCGTGTCCTGCGCTCTGTGCCCTGCGCTCAGTACCTTGCACTCTGCGACGGTGCCCTGCGCTCCATGCCCTGCGCTCCATGCCCTGCACTCCATGCCCTGCGCTCCGTGCCCTGCACTCCATGCCCTGCGCTCCGTGCCCTGCACTCCATGCCCTGCGCTCCATGCCCTGCGCTCCGTGACGGTGCCCTGCACTCCATGCCCTGCACTCCATGCCCTGCGCTCCGTGCCCTGCACTCCATGCCCTGCACTCCATGCCCTGCACTCCGTGCCCTGCACTCCATGCCCTGCGCTCCATGCCCTGCGCTCCATGCCCTGCGCTCCGTGACGGTGCCCTGCACTCCGTGCCCTGCGCTCCGTGCCCTGCACTCCGTGCCCTGCGCTCCGTGCCCTGCGCTCCATGCCCTGCGCTCCGTGACGGTGCCCTGCACTCCGTGCCCTGCGCTCCGTGCCCTGCGCTCCATGCCCTGCGCTCCGTGACGGTGCCCTGCACTCCGTGCCCTGCACTCCGTGCCCTGCGCTCCATGCCCTGCACTCCATGCCCTGCGCTCCGTGCCCTGCGCTCCGTGCCCTGCGCTCCATGCCCTGCGCTCCATGCCCTGCGCTCCATGCCCTGCGCTCCGTGTCCTGCGCTCCGTGCCCTGCGCTCCGTGCCCTGCGCTCCGTGACGGTGCTGTTGCTGCCTCTCTTTCAGGTTCCAGGGGGCACCAGTCGTGCCTGTGGCCGCCAAGCCCGGGGGACCAGAGGCCCCTGACACTGAAGCTCCACAGGGCATCCCAGAGCTCATCGAGGTACTGTCCACTCAGGCTCTGCCCAGGGGAGGGCGGAGGGGACAGTGCTGGCCTTGCAGGGCTGGTGGTGGCGAGCGGGGGTCTGGGGGCTGGTGATGGCGAGCGGGGGTCTCGGGGCTGGTGGTGGCGAGCGGGGGTCTCGGGGCTGGTGGTGGCGAGCGGGGTTCTCGGGGCTGGTGGTGGCGAGCGGGGGTCTCGGGGCCGGTGGTGGCGAGCGGGGGGTCTCGGGGCTGGTGAGCGGGGGTCTCGGGGCTGGTGGTGGCGAGCGGGGGTTCTCGGGGCTGGTGGTGGCGAGCGGGGGTCTCGGGGCTGGTGGTGGCGAGCGGGGGTCTGGGGGCTGGTGATGGCGAGCGGGGGTCTCGGGGCCGGTGGTGGCGAGCGGGGGTCTCGGGGCCGGTGGTGGCGAGCGGGGTTCTCGGGGCCGGTGGTGGCGAGCGGGGGTCTCGGGGCTGGTGGTGGCGAGCGGGGGTCTCGGGGCCGGTGATGGCGAGCGGGGTTCTCGGGGCTGGTGGTGGCGAGCGGGGGTCTCGGGGCTGGTGGTGGCGAGCGGGGGTCTCGGGGCCGGTGATGGCGAGTGGGGGTCTCGGGGCTGGTGGTGGCGAGCGGGGGTCTCGGGGCTGGTGGTGGCGAGCGGGGGTCTCGGGGCTGGTGGTGGTGAGCGGGGGTCTCGGGGCTGGTGAGCGGGGGTCTCGGGGCTGGTGGTGGCGAGCGGGGGTCTCGGGGCTGGTGAGCGGGGGTCTCGGGGCTGGTGGTGGCGAGCGGGGGTCTCGGGTCTCGGGGCTGGTGGTGGCGAGCGGGGGTCTCGGGGCTGGTGGTGGCGAGCGGGGGTCTCGGGGCTGGTGGTGGCGAGCGGGGGTCTCGGGGCTGGTGGTGGTGAGCGGGGGTCTCGGGGCTGGTGAGCGGGGGTCTCGGGGCTGGTGGTGGCTAGCGGGGGGTCTCGGGGCTGGTGAGCGGGGGTCTCGGGGCTGGTGGTGGCGAGCGGGGGTCTCGGGCTGGTGGGTGGCGAGCGGGGGTCTCGGGGCTGGTGGTGGCGAGCGGGGGTCTCGGGGCTGGTGGTGGTGAGCGGGGGTCTCGGGGCTGGTGAGCGGGGGTCTCGGGGCTGGTGGTGGCGAGCGGGGGTCTCGGGGCTGGTGAGCGGGGGTCTCGGGGCTGGTGGTGGCGGAGCGGGGGTCTCGGGGCTGGTGAGCGGGGGGGTCTCGGGGCTGGTGGTGGCGAGCGGGGGTCTCGGGGCTGGTGGTGGCGAGCGGGGGTCTCGGGGCTGGTGGTGGCGAGCGGGGGTCTCGGGGCTGGTGGTGGCGAGCGGGGGGTCTCGGGGCTGGTGGTGGCGAGCGGGGGGTCTCGGGGCTGGTGGTGGCGAGCGGGGGTCTCGGGGCTGGTGGTGGCGAGCGGGGGTCCTCGGGGCTGGTGGTGGCGAGCGGGGGTCTCGGGGCTGGTGGTGGAAAGCGGGGGTCTCGGGGCTGGTGAGCGGGGGTCTCGGGGCTGGTGGTGGCGAGCGGCGGGTCTCGGGGCTGGTGGTGGCGAGCGGGGGTCTCGGGGCTGGTGGTGGCGAGCGGGGGTCTCGGGGCTGGTGGTGGCGAGCGGGGGGTCTCGGGGCTGGTGGTGGCGAGCGGGGGTCTCGGGGCTGGTGAGCGGGGGTCTCGGGGCTGGTGGTGGCGAGCGGGGGTCTCGGGGCTGGTGAGCGGGGGTCTCGGGGCTGGTGGTGGCGAGCGGGGGGTCTCGGGGCTGGTGGTGGTGAGCGGGGGTCGCGGGGGTCTCGGGGCTGGCAAGCGGGGGTCCTGGGTGCCACGTGCACAGATGACGCCCCACGCGCTCATGACTGTGACACCGACCCAGTGTTCCAGGCCCCACACTAAGGTGTTTATCTGCGAGGCCATGGGGGAGGCTGAGAGGCCCGCCAGCCGGTGTGCGGGGAAGCGGGGGTTCCGAGCCCGTCCCCTGCACCCGGACCCAGCCGCCCCTCTGGGCTGGCGGCTCCCGGAGCTGGAGTTTTCTGGCCTGCACATCAGCTCCAGAGGCCCTAGAAGCTGCCACAGTTGTTTTTGCTCAAATAAAATCCACAAAAATGTGGCTCCGAAGTATGTTTGTATATTCCTCTTAAAAGCCTCTACATAAATCAGACCAAGCCTGTTTTGAACTTTAAAATGTGATCACAAGACCAAGTTTTGTAACATTCACTACCGAATAGTTTCCTGACAGCCTGTTCCTTATGAAATCAGAAAACAGCCAAGTCAAAGCAGCGCCGCGGCGTGCTGTGCCTTTGTGCATTTGTTTCTTGATTAGCTCTGACAGCACCCGAGCAGAGCTGACATGAGGAAACTGGGCTGTGGGCCCGCGGGCCCCGCTCGGGCCGGCCGGCACAAGCCGGCACAGGCTGGCACAGGCCGGCACGGGTTGGCACGGGCCCGCAGGCCCCGCTCGGGCCGGCCGGCACAGGCCGGCACAGGCCGGCACGGCCGGCGGGGGCGGACGTGGGCCTGCCCCCCTTGCTGGCGCCTGGGGTGGGGGTGAAGATCCCTGCCGCGGCCCGCAGCCCTTGCCCAGGTGCCGGCCAGGCCCCGGCCCTCAGGCACCGTGCCAGCCGCTGCGGTGCTGCACGCTGGGATGCACGGCATGGCGGGACGCGGGGTGCCTGGTGGGACGGAGCTGGGAGCCCTTCCGGAGGGCTCAGGGCTGCGGGGAGGTGAGCCGGCGGTGAGCGTGCAGGTCTGCCTGTGGATGCCTGGTGTGGGGCTGCGGCGTCCTGCGTGGGGCTTGAGGCCTGGGCAGGGGGCACATGCACCGGGCTCCACGACAGATACCTGAGGATGAGATGGAGAGAGGAGGAGGAGGAGGAGGAGGAGGGGGAGGAGGAGGAGGGGGAGGAGGAGGAGGGGGAGGAGGAGGAGGGGGAGGGGGGGGAGAGGGGTAGGAGTGGGGAGGAGGAGGAGGGGGAGGAGGAGGAGGGGGAGGAGGGGGAGGGGGGGAGAGGGGTAGGAGTGGGGAGGAGGAGGGGGGGAGGGGCGGAGAGGAGGGGGGGAGGGGCAGGGAGGAGGGGGAGGGGGGGAGGGGGGTAGGAGTGGGGAGGAGGGGGAGGAGGAGGGGGGGAGGGGCAGGGAGGAGGAGGGTGGGGAGGGGAGGAAGAGGGGGAGGGGGAGGAAGGGGAGGGGTGGGGAGGAGGAGGGGGAGGGGCTGGGGGGAGGAGGAGGAGGAGGAGGCCAGGGAGGGGCCGGGAGGACAGGGAGGGGCGGGGAGGCCTCCCCGTTGGGGGGGGAGGGGGAGGGGCGGGGAGCGGGAGGGGTGGGGGCGGAGGCCCTCCCCCCGCTCAGCTGGGAAGCAGCAGGGGTGGGAGGTCTGCTGTGACCTGGCAGCCACCTCTCTTCTCTAGGTCCTGATGTCCCAGATTTCCATCCCAGAGAGAGACCCCTCGGGCCCGTTCCTCATGTCTGTGGACCACTGCTTCTCCATCAAAGGCCAGGGCACCGTGATGACTGGCACGGTGCTGTCGGGCGCCGTCAGCCTCGGGGACAGCGTGGAGATCCCTGCCCTCAAGGTCAGCTCTTCTGGCGCTTCTTTGCACCTCTGGACCCGCTCCCCCCCTCCCCCCGCTCCCCCCTCCCCCGCCCCTCCCCCCCCCTCCCTCCGCCCTCCCTGCCCATCTTAGCCCAGAAGTGCTGCTCTCCTGGATTCTCGAATTCTCGTTGGAACGCCCGTGGCCCGCGTGCCCGAGCTGGAGGGCTGGGCGGGAGGCCAGGGCGGACACTGGGCACCACGCCTTTCTGCGAGCCCTCGGGGCTCGGGGTGGCACTTGCGTGTGGTTATTTGGGGTACGGCAGATGCATGCCTGGCTGTTGGAGGGACACCAGGTATATGCATGGTTATTTGGGGTACCTTTTTATTTCTTTTTCTAGGCTGTTCTAGAATTTTCCATCTTCCTGCCTCAGTGCCTCCCCCATGTTGTAATCACAGGCATGCCCACCATACATGTTTCTTAACCAGAAGAATTTCAGATTGAGGGCTGGGAAGGTGGCTAGGTGGTAGAGCACTTACCTTGCATGCATGAGGCCCTGGGTTCGATTCCTTAGCACCACATGAGCAAAAAGCAACAAGTATTACAGTGGCTCAAATGTTAGAGCCTAGTCTTGAGCAAACAAAGCAGTTCAGAGACAGTGCCCAGGCCCTGAGTTCAAGCCCCAGGACCGGCAAAAAAAAAGGGGGGCCTTTCATATTGATCACAGATTGACAGTGCTGAGTCGCTCGCTCTGGGGGTCCAGGCTGTGCCGCCGGCCCCGCCACCCTCGGAGGACCGCAGGACAGCACACCATCCCCACCGCAGGCCGCCGCCTGGTGCCACGTCCTGGCTGACTTGGTGTCGCCAGTGCCCTTGAGAAGGCTTTTGTGTCTATGGTGTGGTAGACGTGTCTGTAATCCAGCTGCTGAAGGAACAAAGCAGGAGGATCGGGGGTTTGAGGCCAGGCTGGGCATGGATCAGTGGTGCACGCTCGCCCAGCTTGCAAGCTGAGAGGCAGGGAGACGCACGGCCCCAGGAGCCCGCACAGGCTTCCTGGACAGAGGCCGTGGCCCGCCCAGTGTTGGTGCACCCCAGAGCCGACAGGTGGAGTGCCCGGTGGAGGAGGCAGCTGGGGCTCACGGGCGACCCCACCAGGGCACTGCGGGAGGCTGCGTTGGGTTTCTCAGCGACGGGAGTGCAGATCTCTCAGGGTGTGTCCACAGGGGTCGTGGTGCCCGCACTCGAGCCCAACTGGTCTAGGTGGCATTCTGTACAGATACGAGTTCTGGGTTGTGGGAGCTGGCTTGGACCTTGTGGGATTCGGCAGGCTGAAGTCTGGAGAGCCGGCCCCAGGCCGAGATGCTGGGGCCGGAAGGCTGTGGGCCGGCAACATTCCTGTTGCTTTGTTCAGAGTCTCCCAACTTCTGCAGCTTGGGAGGAAGGCGTGGTGGGAAGGAGGGCTCCCGGGGAAGGGACGAGGTTGGCAGCTGGGTGCCGGGGCACACGTTCAGGTCCCGGAAGCTGATAGAATTCGCCCCTTGGGGTGCCAAACCTTCATGGAGCCTCCGATCCCTTCCACGCCCCTTCCATTTTCTCCCTTTGGGATGGAGTTTTTGCTCTCTGCTGTCTTGCATATGGTCTGAAGGGAGATTGCTTCTTGTCCAGGCCCACAGGTGGCAGAGACAGACCACACCCAGAGCGTCACCCACACCTGCTCAGGGACTCGTGGAGATAGTGGTATTTGGAGGAGACTTGCATCTTACAGTAGTGGCTTGGTCAGAGGGACTCGGAGGGAAGGCAGACAGGGCGACGTTACGTTTTGTATGTAGGACAGATGTGAAGTTCTGAGCACCAGAGGGTAAACTACGGTAGGGTTGAATGATACATCCACCCAGAACCTCAGATGTGACCTGTGTGGGCCTTTGTAACATGATGAAGGTGACTAAGTCCAAAGACAAGTGCCCAGGCAAGAGACAGAAAGGAGTGACAGATCCATGAGGCCCACATGGCCACAGGCGCCCAACGGCCCCGTGGGCACGGAAATCCACGAAGTCCACGTGGCCACGGAGATCCACGACGTCCGCGCGAACACAGAGATCCACAAAGTCCACGTGGGCACAGAGATCCACGAAATCCACGTGGGCACAGAGATCCACGACGTCCACATGAGCACAGAGATCCACAAAGTCCACGTGGGCACAGATATCCATGAAATCCACATGAGCACAGAGATCCACAAAGTCCACGTGGGTGCAGAGATCCACAAAGTCCACGTGGGCGCAGAGATCCACAAAGTCCACGTCGGCGCAGAGATCCACAAAGTCCACACAGACACAGAGATCCACAAAGTCCGCATGGGCATGGAGATCCATGAAGTCCACGTGGGCACGGAGGTCCACAAAGTCCATGTGGGCACGGAGGTCCACGAAGTCCACGTGGGCATGGAGATCCATGAAGTCCACGTGGGCACGGAGGTCCAGGAAGTCCATGTGGGCACGGAGGTCCAGGAAGTCTACGTGGGCACGGAGGTCCAGGAAGTCCATGTGGGCACGGAGGTCCAGGAAGTCTACGTGGGCACGGAGGTCCAGGAAGTCCATGTGGGCACGGAGGTCCAGGAAGTCTACGTGGTCACGGAGGTCCAGGAAGTCCATGTGGGCACGGAGGTCCAGGAAGTCCATGTGGGCACGGAGGTCCAGGAAGTCTGTGTGGGCACAGAGGTCCACGAAGTCCACATGGACACGGAGATCCACAAAGTCCACATGGGCACGGAGATCCATGAAGTCCATGTGGGCACGGAGGTCCAGGAAGTCCATGTGGGCACAGAGGTCCACGAAGTCCACGTGGGCACGGAGGTCCATGAAGTCCGCGTGGGCACAGAGGTCCACGAAGTCCACGTGGGCACGGAGGTCCATGAACTCCATGTGGGCACGAAGGTCCACAAAGTCCGTGTGGACACAGAGATCCATGAAGTCCATGTGGGCACGGAGGTCCAGGAAGTCCATGTGGGCACGGAGGTCCATGAAGTCCATGTGGGCACGGAGGTCCATGAAGTCCACGTGGGCACGGAGGTCCATGAAGTCCGTGTGGGCACGGAGGTCCATGAAGTCTACGTGGGCACGGAGGTCCACAAAGTCCATGTGGGCACAGAGGTCCACGAAGTCCATGTGGGCACGGAGGTCCATGAAGTCCACGTGGGCACAGAGGTCCATGAAGTCCACGTGGGCACGGAGGTCCATGAAGTCCACGTGGGCACGGAGGTCCATGAAGTCCACGTGGGCACGGAGCTCCATGAAGTCCGTGTGAGCACAGAGGCCCACGAAGTCCACAGAGGAGGGTGGTTGTGGCCTGGGCCCTGGGGCCTCCGGGAGGAGTCGCCGGGATGGGCCCTGTGGGGCTTGGGGACCAACCCCATCCGGCTCCCAAACCAGGAGTGAAGCGCCTGTTGCTTTGTGCCGGTGTGCCTCCTTTGTCACGGGCGGCGTTGGGCAAGGCAGATGGGCTGTGGATGAGAGCGCGGCCAGGTGTGCTCGGGTGGACAGCTCCGCTTCTCGGCGTTGCGTTGGGGGTGGTGGCTGTGTTGGAGGAGCGCAGGCGAGCGGCTGAGACGCAGCGCTGCAGTCAGGTTGGCCGGCCAGGCTGCCTGCTCCCTTCACGACCATCCTCTGATCAGGAGGAGGCGGGCCTGGTGCTGGCCTGGCCTGGGCGGGCCGTGGGCACCCGTGTGTCCCACCACACTCCCCACCAGGGCCACGTCACAAGAGTGAGGCCCGGCCTCCTGAGCCACGCTCATCCTCCCCTCCACCAGCCCCGATGGTGTCCGGCATTGCGGGCCGCGGACACGGTGGTGACCCGTCGGGTTTCACTGGTACGCTGCTCCGACGACTCTCACTCCAAATATCAGCCTCCTTTGCTCCCACCTGCGGCCTGCTGTCTGCCAGGCCACCCAGGGTGGTTGGAACGCCGACATCCTGAGGCTTGCTGGCTCTCTTGACCCTCGGCTGGCCAGCATGGCCGTGGCCCTGGCCTGGGGCTCGGGAGGGCGGCCACCCGGGGGCTGGCCGTCGGTGGCAACATCAGAAACTGTCAGAGCTCGGGGCAGGAGTTCAGGGCCCAGACGCACCGTCTTCCTTCTCTGGCCACAGGCACGTCTAGCTCCTCTGTGCTGCGTTGGTGCAGCACAGACAGCATGAGTCTGTGCCGCCTGACCGGGTCCTCGCAGAGGGCTGGGGACCCTGCGGCTGGTGCTGGGTGGAAGGAGCGGCCTGAGGAGTCGGCTGCCTGGACAGGGCGTGCGGGACCCCCCCCCCCCCCCCGCCCGGGGAGGATGCCGGCCCCCCAGCCCCCAGGGCCCCGGCCGCGTGGGGCCGCCCCGCCGGCCCGGCCTGGGGTGGGCCGCATGGGAGGCGGGCCTGCTGTGCTCCCCTCCACTCACAGGCCCGTGTCCTCTGCGTCCCGTCCCCTCCCCTCCCCCATGGGGCCGGCCACGCGACCCCCGCCAGGCGCACGGGGGCCCTGCAAGGCCACGCACGTCCCCCTCCGCCTCCCCCCCTCGGCAGGAGGGCATCAGAGCAGGACTTGCCTGCCACGGCCCTCAAACGACTCGACTGTGCCCTGCAGAGCCGCCAAGTGTTCAGGTCCTCACAGTCCCTGCCCTCGACCACACGGGCACCACGCCTCTGCCTGCCAGGAGCCTGCCGCGAGGCCGCGAGGCAGGCCCTACTGTGCGCACAGCTAGGGCCCGGGATGAGCCCTCGTGGGGCAGGCCCTACTGTGCGCACAGCTAGGGCCCGGGGTGAGCCCTCGTGGGGCAGGCCCTACTGTGCGCACATCTAGGGCCCGGGGTGAGCCCTCGTGGGGCAGGCCCTACTGTGCGCACAGCTGTGCCAGGGCCGGGGTGAGCTCTCGTGGGGCAGGCCCTACTGTGCGCACAGCTACGCCAGGGCCCGGGATGAGCCCTCGTGGGTCAGACCCTACTGTGCGCACAGCTGTGCCAGGGCCCGGGGTGAGCCCTTGTGGGGCAGGCCCTACTGTGCGCACAGCTA